GAGAATAAGTTCTGAACTTAACAAATCAGTTCTGGATATTTCTCTTAGTTTAGTTTAGGAGAGCACTTTCAGTTTAACTTGGAAATATCTGCATAGCAAACTAATTAGTCACTTCTGAATTTTGTTCAGTTTAACTTGGAAATATCTGCATAGCAAACTAATTAGTCACTTCTGAATTTTGTTCTGGATATCATTGTCTAGAGAGATGGTTTTCAATTTTTTGGTTGATATGCTTACAGACCGGAACTTCTGACTCCTCAAACTGTGATAATGGGATATGTAAAAATTTAGATTGAGGAAAGTTTCACGTTGTTAAGGGTCTTATTTGTTGTCTTCGTGAGAATCTTAAAAATATTGCTGTATTTAAATTTTTATTTTTGTATTTGGGTTGAGTCGTTGTGACCAAGAATCCTATGTAGAAATCAGACCACAAGTTTATGAAATTAGAATTCTTTTGTGATCCTTCTTGAGCTGTTTAGATATTTGATTTTAAACTCTCAGCTCTTAAATTTTGACATTGTGAAGCTCTTAGGTTTATTTTTATATCAAGTGTTTTGTCTCTTAATAACTTTCAATATTTGATAAAGCTAGTTTGTTCTCTATTTTCAGGTTTTGGATCTACATTACATCAAAGGTTATCAATGGAAAACAATCTAGGAAGCACGAGTAAGACATCAGGTACTTTAACATACTAATTTTTGTTTGCTAACTGCAACTATGCACTATAATTAGTCATCACTGTGAATGGTTTTATTTACATATGTTTGTTTTTTATGTGCAGCCACTACTAAGGAGTTTCCCAAGCGCCTTTTCGGACATGGTAAAGAGCCTGAAGTTGAGAAAATTAACAACAGCTGCAGATTATCGATACTTAGGAAAATCAAAGATGCTTTGCCACTAGAGTATAAGAAAGTGAAGTCTGATCCTCTGTTTGCACAAGTCTTCGCCATATATATATACAAAAATAGTTTACATTATTCGGGTCGTCTGGTGCACAGCCTAATGTGTAGACAGTTGGTAACATCAAAGAGGCGCGCATGAAGATTGATGTTGACCTTTGGGAGGCTGCTCATGATCATATCTTAATTGAGCGAATGAAGAACTATAAACCTCCACATCAATCGTCGGATATCCTTGAAATTGATTGAGATTAATTAGCATTATGGTTTTTTTTATCGTGCAAACAGATTATGTACTACTCTTGCGACATGTAGTTTGTATGACATGAAGTGAATGTAATACTTAACTAATAATAAAATCATAAACTCAGAACTGAACCCCGCAACCTCCCATGGTAGTGAATCGGAAAAACATGAAGCTGCTCATAATTTGAAGCTGCTTCTAATCCTGTAAATTAAAAACAAAAACATTACCAAAAGACAATTTTTAAATTCTCTATTTAAGATTATAACCAGTAGTTAAACGAACCTTAATCATATAGCTATGTCACATGTTGTTCGATTATGGCCTTCTTTTCCACAACGACTACACCTATGTCTCTTTGACAATTGTGGTTGTTGTGACGTTTTTATCTTGTCTTCAGCCGTTTCATATCTTCGTTTTCTTCGTCGACCATGTTGCCTTCTTGTTTCAGGTGGTAACACAATTGCAGCTCCAACCTCCTCTGGGACACGCCATTCTTCTT